TTATACATCCCATGGTGTCACGTGTATGTACGAGTTTTGACGGAATTTTAGTGGATGTTAATGGTTGGGGAGGTTTTATACAATTGTTAAAAGCAGTAGGGGTACTTTAAGGCGAGGCCGCGTTCTATGCATCCATGGGTGCACTGAACGAGTGCACCCTTAAATGAGAGTCGAACATGTCATCTCATCTGTGTTAACAACAATTTAAAGAAAATTTTCTCTGTTACTAATCACTTGGCTGGTTGAACCGGTCATTTTTTACCCAAGCATTCATTAGTGACTCACTGCACACTGGCGTTGTGAACGCATAAGCTACCGGCAGCGGGAGAGTGTCCAGTGGACCCGTATACCACAAAGAAGAAGATTGTTGATCTGCAACAGAAGCTCTTCTAGCAGAGATAAGAAGTAAAGTATCTGGAGATGAAGCTTTGGTATAGTCACGATATTGCTTGTAGGGTCGACCTTCTTTGTTCTAGCAAGAATCAAACTTGTATTTGGAATTGGACAAGGTTGTCTACCAACCAACAGTTCTTTCTTGTCATGAATCCTCTCTGTGTATGCTGCCATCCACCCCTCCAAGAACCCAACTTGTAAATTTGTCTTGGGCCATTGATGTAGAAAGCCCACACCTGGAAACTCCTTGACAGAGATGTCCCACACCCGAAAGCAAGTAATCCATTATTAATGAAGAAACCCCACACCCGAAAACTCCTCGACAGAGATGCCCTTGACCCCAACACGTCTCTGTCTCTTCCCGCACTAACCCTTGCCATCGCCTCAACAGCGGCAGTCGGCAACTACAAAACCCCTACAACCCATGTTGACCTTCGGTTGCTCCATGGTTCTGACGCTGGTGGTGCTCTTGACGGCTCTGTTCTTCATGGGTTTCTTTTCCGTCTACATCCACCACTTCACGGAGGAGAACGCCTTGAAATTCTGTCGAAAAGAAGAAGAATGGAGAGGACAAGAAGAATACGTCATCATCGGAGCTCTATCGCCATTGATGACCCACCAGAGCTCTATCGTTGTCGATGACCTGCTGGAGCTTTGTCACCACCGATGGAGGAAGGGTTTGGTGTATGGGCAGGGTTCGATGGAAAGAAATCGAAGAAATGGGACCTTTTGTCTGTGTTCTAGACTGGTTCACGTGGACACGAACCGGTTTGTGGCCGCATGAACCGCCTGATTGAAACACACGTTAACGTTGGCCCTGTCGTTTTGTCATTCGCAGGTGTACTTGTCGAGTGCATCCACCGGTGCACAAAACATGAATTCCTTTAAGATAATACTGAAATAGTAGGGATAGAGTTAGTCAATTTCCTAAACCTTAAGGGTAGTTTAGGAAATTTGCCCAAAAATTGAAACAATATAATTTTAGGTAAATATAAAAAGCCTCCTCGAAGTTTTTGACAATTTGACAATTATAAAAACCTCCCCTATAGTTTCATTTTAACAAATACCTCTGCTGAATTTTTGAGAAACTCGACAAAAACCTCTCTTCCGTCATCTTCCTAGATGGAAAACGTTAGACTGTTGCACCCGTTTTTTTCTAAATGCCCATTTTGCCCTTTTATAATTTATTTTACATACAAAATTACTGAAATACCTTGTTTTAATTTGACAAAACAGCCATCTTCTAACATTTTTGTTGAGTTAAAATAAGGTTGTTTTAGTAATTTTGTATGTAAAATAATTATAAAAGGGTATAATAGGTATTTGAAAAAAAATGATGCATCAATCTAACATTTTCTGTATGGGAAGGTGACAAAAGGGAGGTTTTTGTTGAGTTTCTTGAAAATTTAGGGGACGTATTTGTTAAAATAAAACTATAAGGGAGGTTTTTATGATTGTCAAAAACTTCAAGAGAGGTTTTTGTATTTTATGATACCGAAATATAGCAATTGATTTTTTGGGTATCAATATCAGACTCTTTGGTTTTTGTTTTTTTTTATCTTTTTGCTAACGTGAAATATGTTTTCTTGTTTGGCTTAAAGAAAGCAATCCATTTCTGTTTTAAGAAAAAACAAAACTATACACATTACACGTTGGCGAACACTCCTCTAATTCTCCACAGACACAATTATGAGGAATGTCTTGATCTAGTCAGTATTTGAGGCATGTGATTATTGTGATCCCACCCATGCTTTTTCTGATAATAGATAATCCCAGCCGTGATTTGAGAATAAAATGGATGAATCAGTAGGTCCTCTTTTGTGTGGGATCCATCCCATCGTGGACCCGAATCTTCGAAATTAAACACCCAACAACAACCTCACTTAATTCCCCCATTACCATTAAGCGAATGAGGAGCAGATTGGTTCCGTGCTTAACCCAGACTCTTCTGACTTCTATTTCCATTCCCTCGTTTTCCGGGTAAGCCAGTTCAGTGGGTCTCTTCTGAGACGGACAGCTTGAATCTTCCGTATCAGCCTTACACGTGTCACAAATCCCTTCCGTTTACAGCCTTCGGTCACATTGACTGCAAACTACCGCAGAAAGCTTCAGACTCTATTTTCATTACCGCCGTATATTGGGAACATATCCGGTGTTTCCAATACAAGGCGGGGATGCGTTGTGGAACGTTATGGGGCGCAGATCTGACCTTTTATCTCTCAATTCACCCATCAACTTGGGTCGCACTGTACCACTTGTAGTCCACGAAACAACATAACAAAAGTACATTTCCTCGTCTGAACGGCCTGATTTCCATCATGTGGTGACGCCCGACGGATTTATCCATTTCTGATTTTTCGTTGGTACTTGGTGGTGCCTAAAAGATAGGGCTGTATCCGGGTCGTGTCGTATCCTATTACATTCCAACCCAACCCGATTATTAAAACTCCAAATCCCATTTAGTGAAAATTTTGTATTAAAATTGATTGACACCATTCTATTTGTTTCCGACAATTGTCTAAACATTATCGGGGGTCGTTAAACATGGACGAAAAACGTAAAAAGACTTTTTTACCCTTAAACTCAATTGGATGGATCCACCGGAGAGATTGATGACAGTGGAGATCTGAGAGAAAAAACTACTTGTCCTCCTTGATCTGAAACTCATATTAGAAACGATTGTCTTGTACTGTTTAAATTTTAGGTGCATGTTGTCCGATGAGGGAGGTTTGATCCAAATCGCCACTGCTAAGAGATGCAATGGCGATGGTTGGGAGGTTCGATCCAAATTGCCGCTCCAAGTTGGTATTGCTTTCAAACTTATTTGACTCAGATTGGATTCTTCTTCAAACTTTACCGATCGCGGATTTTTCCTCTTTGGTTCTACTCATCAAACTAAGATTGCCATCGTCAGCCCCATAAGGAGATTTCCAAAGGATCGAAAGAATGAGTTGGGAAAAAGAACCCAAGGACTACTAGCACAAAATACTCACCAACAATTGGTAACGGAATCGACGAAGTGCTGGAATTCTGAGGCAACGTTGACGACTGAGGTGGCGCAGCCGAAACTGATACTGAGATCAGAGAAGAAACTCTTGACTTTGCCTCGTTACTCGATCCATTGGTCTCTTTTGAATCTACCTTCTGTGATGCATTTCTTGTAATTTCTTGGTTTGGCGGGCACTATGATTGCCTTTTCAATCCATACAAAACCTTTGTGACCTCGATCTCAATCTCCTGGATTGAAGAAGATGAGGTCTTGGTAATTTCTGGAGGCCGGTGCTTAGCTCTGATAGTTTTTTGCAACATAAGTTCAAACTTTCAATAGATGGATCTTCGTACAGAAACACAGAAACAACAAAAGAAAACCAAATAAAAAAGAATAAAAACTAACCATCTTCTTCTGAACAGAAGCATTGGAAGAAGAAGGCAAGATCAAAGCCGGTGAGGGTACTGGTGCACTTAAACTCGTGGGTGAAGTTGAAGCCTGATGGTGAAATTGTAGATGACGACGCTTGCAGGCACTTGGTCTCTGTAGGCCTCCTCATCTTATCTTAGACGAAGGATTCCTGACTCTCCTTTCTTTTTTTTTATATTTCTTTCTTTTATTTTTCGGCCTCTGCACGCACATTTCAGTTAGTCATGCTTTCCTTCTTCAGGTTCTCCGGGGAGAAGAGTGTCAGGACCCATCTCCTTCTCTGTGCTCTGATGAAGTGAATCAGAATCTACAACTATTGAAGATGGTCTTCTTGGCTTTCGCTTTTCCCAGGATCTCTCATTGGCTTACTTTCTTTCTTTCCTGTTGCTAGAATAACTGGTATTGATGGAATAGAAGTTGCCGCTGCAAATCTGATTCGGTCTCTCCGTCAACCATTAGTATATCTTGATTAGCAGCACCTGGTCTTTTCATCAGCCATCAAAATCCAGATTTGCTCCTCAGAGTGATTACACATACATGACTCTAGGTAAGAGGGAGAAAAATAGAGAGAGGTAAGAGAGAAGACACCGAAGGTCTGAGGAGGAAGGGATTGCCGGTCAGAGAAAGGGGACGAGGGAGGGGGTAATATTGGATTTTAAAAAAATTTTAAATGTCATATGGTCTCATGCGTATATATGGGTTTTGACGGAATTCTATAATGTAGAGTTAGTCAATTGCCAAAAACAATAGGAATAGCGCCACTCAATTTTAAAACAGAATGGATACACTTGGTAGTAATCAGATAGGGTGTCGGATCGGGTTTTCGGACATTCGGATCAAAAGATTTGATGCTCGTCAAGGATTCGGAATCTCTGTTTCGTGGAGATGGGTCGTTCATGCATCGCCTTCGCCTACAAAACACGAGACGAGATGTCGGCTCCACTTTGGAGTTTGGATAAGATAAGCTTCTATTTATAATCTCTTTAGACCTGATCTCCTGTACTGTTTTCCACCATAGAATATACACCCCATCTGAATCGTCTCAACCACTGTCCCACTCTCTTTATTCATTGGTCAAACTATTTCAACAAAATCAACGGACACTATTAGAGATAGAGTGGATCAGAGAATAAGTTACTTTATTGTTTACTTTGTATGTAAGTTTGAAATAAAAAAGAAAAAAAAGCCGAATTCACGGTTCGTGTTGGGCTAGACTCCCTCTCTTTTTGCCCCAATTTATTTCTTTCTCTTCGGCTTCCTTTCTTCTCTCTCTCTTCTGCAGACGCCGTGAGAGAGGGAGCGAAGCGATCACAGGAGAAGTCATAAATGATCGGATTTAAGCTAATCTCCGGGTTGTTCGAAGCCCTAACCTTAACCCTAAATTTTCTGGTCATGTAGTTTTCGTTCTTTTACTACAAATTCGGATCTCGTGTTTCGTCTTTAGAAGAAGGAAATCAACCTGTCGGAGGGAGGGAAGCAGGAGGCGAGGAGGAGATGACGAGGAGGTGCTCGCATTGCAGTCACAATGGGCACAATTCCAGGACTTGCCCTAACAGAGGTGTCAAGCTCTTCGGGGTCCGATTAACGGATGGATCGATCCGAAAGAGTGCTAGTATGGGGAATCTGACGCACTACACTGGATCAAGCAGTAATAATCATCACCACAACAATACTCCTGGTTCGCCGGGCGAGACGCCTGAACACGGCGCGGCCGCTGACGGTTATGCTTCCGAAGATTTTGTCCAGGGTTCTTCTAGCTGTCGTGAGCGGAAGAAAGGTCGGATTTCTTCTTTCTTCCAGTGTTTTTGAAGCTTTGATCTCAAACTGTTTAATCAATTAATTAGTTGTTTTGCCTCTTTTGGTGCGTGTTTAAAGAACAAGTATGGAACCAAAATGATTTGTTTGCCTTTTAAACGAAAATTTTTGCTGGATGTATGAGGAACTATGGAAATTGATGTAGGTCTCTGTTTTTTTTTTTTTTTATTTTTTATTTGCTCTCTTATGCGAGATAGAATAGAAAATGATTTTATGATATTTAATTTTTTTTTTCGAACTTTAGAAACTGTAACTAGTTCGGGTAATTGTTCTTCATTTACGTGATTGATATAGATCAACTGTTAAAAAGGGGCAGAAGTAGGAAACCTAGGAAGGGAAACGCCTTGCGTAACGTGAACGTCGTGAAGGGCGCGGAGCAATCTAGTTTTTTCGAACTTATGTTGGTGTTTAATTGTTTATAGGTCGACACAGTGGTCTCGGACGTTGTCATTTTAGTTGAAAATTCGTTTATGTCTTCTAGTCAGATGTCTGCCTGAAAAGTCTGGCAATACTTGTTTCACTGATCCAGCAACGGTCTGTATTCCCTAGTTACAGATGTTGAGTTTGAAGCTTGTTTTTTTGTTTGAGTTAATATTGACAGCATTAAACGTTTTGGACATGCAGGTCTATGGAGTTGCTAGAAACTCTTACTATCGTTACCAAATGACTGGTGTTTGTACTTGTATTGACTCAAGACCTAGTTACCCGCCAACTGCAACTGCTGTTTTTCTTGCTTTCAAAGCATTGCAGTTACAGAAACGAGAAACATAGTCCCCAAAGGGGAAATGAAAAAATTTCAGTCCTTATAAGCAGGTTATGCTTTTTTTTGTTGCTTTCTATACTTCATTCTTTGAGGACCAAAAACACCGTGGTCATCTTTACTTGGGGCATCCGCTGTACTCATTCTGGCTTTATTAACGCATTGAAGTGGTGGTGGATTTCACTTTGATGTACCCATTTGGATTCATGTTATTGGTCTTCAATTACCTATTTGGATTCATATTGTTGGTCTTCTGCAAATACATATCATGTTGCTTTTTATTCTTCTTTTCTACCTTCCTGTACTTTCCAGGATTGGGCCAGCCTAATTAATTTGTCTGATTTACATTTCTGGAACATATCTTGTAAATTAGAAGCAAGGAGCACCGATCTGTGCATTTTTGTAGAGCAATACATACAGTGTTTTATCTTTTAAACATATTCACATTATATGTTTCCTACTTTTCTGCAGGGGTGCCATGGACCGAAGAGGAGCATAGAATGTTTCTCCTTGGCCTGCAGAAGCTTGGTAAAGGTGATTGGCGTGGGATAGCACGAAACTATGTCATATCAAGGACGCCAACTCAGGTGGCAAGCCATGCTCAGAAATATTTTATTCGGCAAAGCAATGTATCCAGGAGGAAAAGACGATCTAGCTTGTTTGATATCATAGCTGATGAAGTTAGTATCTTATCTTACTATCTCAAATGCATACAGACTTTTACATCTGTGCTTTTGCATGCATATGAATTATGTAAAAGGGCATGCCATTTTCTGAGAATTGGCCACCTACACCGTTCAATTATCTGCATTTAACATGTGAGGAATTCTTTAATTCAATAAATTTTTTTTAGGTTTTCTGATGTCTGTATATTGTACATCTGGTATACCTGTTGTGCACTGAAACCTCTGTCAGTGTTCATGGCTTTACATGCAGGGTGCTTGGCAAACTGGATCTCATCCATTAGCTTTGTTCTTAATGGGTGGACTGATGGTCTTTTTGCTGATTTCTAAATGAAAATGATAATTTTGGTTTACTAGGATTTGCTTAATCAGGTGTTGGTGTAGGAGATATTTTGGGCCAAAGTTGTCAAGGATTCTCTTTTATGCATGTATGACATGTGCATGCTTCTGCTGCATATGGATCAACATGTCTGGCCATATGACAAGAGTTTTATTTTAATTATTCATTTCCCTTTTTCTTATTTTCTTCTCTAGGGAATTGGAATGTGTTATATATATATATAAAATCTGTCAGTCTGATTGTGAGTTCAGTAAAGATACAATTTACTTGTTTAATTGTTGATTTTTACTGTTATTTATTGATTTCCTTCCACACTGTTTTTATTTCTGCAGACGGTTGATACTCCATCAGCACAAGAACTATTGCCCACAAGCCATCCACAAGCTGAAACACAAAGCAACAATCCATTACCAGTTCCTACAGCTTTGGATGAAGAATGTGAGTCAATGGATTCTACAAACTCCAATGATGGTGAACCTGCCCCTCCAAAGCCAGAGTCTACACAATCTAGTTATCCAGTAATATTTCCTGCCTATTTCTCCCCTTTCTTTCCCTTTTCCTTCCCCTTTTGGCCGGGGTACACTGCAGAGGCGACAACAAAAGAGACCCATGAGGTTGTTAAGCCAACAGCTATACATTCAAAAAGTCCTATCAATGTTGATGAGCTGGTTGGAATGTCCAAGCTAAGCTTAGGAGAATCCCTTGGTAATTCAGGCCCCTCATCGCTCTCACTCAAATTACTTGAAGGTTCCACCAGGCAGTCTGCTTTTCATGCTAAGCCGGCCACAGGTCCCTCAAGCATGGATACGAGCAGCAATCCCATCCATGCAGTCTGATATGCACTGAATAGTTGAGTTGAGCCTGAAACTGAAGGTCAGCTTAGTGCTGAATGATCCTGCAGAATTCCTGTTAATACAAGAAGAATAATGTGCAGTTCGGGTTTGTATGCTTTAGTTATATTTTTGTTTTTTGTTTTTTGTTTTTTTTCTTTCTGCTAAGGACTCTGCTTAATAAATCTGATTCGTAGGAATAACCAACCTAACCATGTTTTTTGGAAGTTTAGAACCCTTTGTGACCTTGTATCCTCTTTGTTAAAAAGAATTAATCTTAACATATATTCTTAGGGTTTACTTCCCCCAGGAGGTGAAGATTTTCTTTTTTCTCACATGTGAAGTTCCATTGGCAGGTGGCTTTTAAAAAATGGATGAAACATCAGGTTTGCCACGCGGACAATGAGATTTCACTTTTAATATCTTTTAGATGAACTGGGCATAGTTTTAAGAAATATTCATTTCTGGCAAATCCCGTTGCTCCTTTTATTAGGGAATGCGGGGCACTTCTGAATTATGACATGCAGCTTGACGGCTTCCTGGCTACTTGAGCGATCTATACAAGATGTGATTGAACTATCATTTTATTTTTTTGGGGTACTTTTTAAATATTCCAAGTTCTTACTCTTGCTTTCTTTTTCTCCACTCGAATTCTAGGCAGCCTTGCATTTAGAGGTTACCGAGCCATGCGTTCTTAATCTCTCTTTCCTTGGATTATCAGAGTTTGGCATTACTTCATGTTGTTGACTGGTAGTTTACATTAATCCTTCTACCTAATTTGACTTGAAATGGCAGAACAGTAGTTGGAACTTGGAAGGCCTGAGAGTGGGAAAGGGATCTGCTTCTCACAATTGAGCGCCTCGCATGCACATCGACTGTGCATTGGGAACATGATTTGGAAATGTTCTGGTAGGATGTGCGTGTAAGACTCGTGCGAGGCACCCTAACTGAGGAGCAGATCCGGTTTCCTGACAATGAGACGCAGAGACCCGAAATTCAAGCATGATTTGGAAAGTTTTACGTGGAACAGTGGAATAAGCACTTAGTAGGTTATTGGCATCGATGCCATTGCCTCAGCCATTTTCTGAGAAAATGGTTGTGTTTTTGAGGATTTGTTGTATTAATTTTTTAGAAAATGGCTCTTTTTTTTTTGTTTGGCATCAATGCGCCCACGAGATGTTTTCTGGCGAAACGGTATTGATTTTGTTTGTTACTAATGCTGTATAACCGTTTTTAATATCATATTGGTGTTTACCAGCAACTGGCTGTCCGGCTGTAACCTGAGAAAAATAAAACTAAACATGAGGCTATTTTCCAGTGTGACACTAATGTGGTGCCGTTTTCTGGGGCAACGGCATAGATACCATACATCGCCTTAACATATTTCTAACCACCCAAAGTCTAAGTAGACATCCGTATCTTAATAGTCACGGCTTACGGGTGAGGGATAAATGGTGCCTCAAAGGGCGGTGGCATGTGTTCAGAAAATCTTTTTCAATTTATAGCTTGTGGTTTACATGTCAAGGAGAAATCATCTTTTTCTCTAGGCTTGTCTTAAATTGAACCTAAACAACTTTCGATGCACGAGGGCCTCAAACCAAACGTATGATATCGGACCTCTACCAAAAGCTATTTCATGTAATCATGTGTGGTTGGAAAGAGATCAGTTGAGAATGGAACATAAAGCCCCACATTTTGGTAAGAGTACGCGTGTCCTCGTGAGAGGGATTTGGCTTACTCTGAGTCTGTGAGACACACCAAACCAACAGAAATTTAAACAGGCTTGCCTTGAACCAGAAGAGAATTTTCTGTACTCGTCAACTCATCTTGTTGGGAAAGAAAATAGGGAAGCCCAGAATTGGCTGAACTTTATACTTGGCTGGGCCCAGATCTTCCAAACAGCTTGCATAATCTTTCTTTTCTTCTTTTCTTTTATCTTTTGAGGCGAACGCTTTATTCTTTGATCATCGACCTTTATGCATCGGGAATCTGTTGGGACAGATCCATAATTCATTTTCTGATCAATTATTTGAGTAATTAGACATTTCAGGCATTATAATTTTTTTGGATAAATTTCTTAAATTACCTAGTTTAACTAATTCACTAACTCTGAACCTTTAAAATGCCGTTTATACTCCTATGCGAAATTACATTTTTATCCCTGTTTTTAACTTAACTCAATCCCTATCAGACTGGCTGCCATCGCCATCGTCACCGACGGTGGTCGCTGCAAATACCGAACGACGGAGGTCCAGGGGAAGTCGACTCCGGCCTACGACGAACGGCGCTGGAACCACCACAGACTTCCGCCGGATGTCGGTGAGTTTTCTTCTCCTCTGTTATTCGTTCAAAGTCATTTCTTCCTCTGTATTTGACTCCTCATCCGACACGACCAAACTCTCTCGCACTCTGTTAATGCCACAGTTCTCAATTGCGTTTTTGCAATCCCGCGGCGACAAAGTCCCATAAACATCCAATCTCGGCCGTTTCCGGCAATTTTCCTGTGATATGGAAACTCCAGCAACAAACTTAAACCGTCGAATCTCCATCCTCCAGCACCTGGCAGCTTGGGAGATCGGCTCGCACGATGCCGCCGTTTCGCTTTTACTAACAACTCCACAACATATTTCCGCCATTACAATTGTTAATCTGACCTTGAAACAGTAGAACCAAGAACCCCTAAAACATCACAGAAGCCAGAACCAACTCTCTTAGTTCCTCCGCTGAAAATAAAAAATAAAAAAACCCAGACAAGACAGTTCTTCTAAAGCTGAGCTTTGACCCTCTTAAGAATAGAAGAACAACAATTGGAGGCGAGAATAGAGATATCGGAGATCTTTCCTCCGCACTCCAAAGTACCCGTTAAAATGACCTCCAAGGTTGCCTTTTTACAGGGGGCCTTCCTTAAAACAAAGGGGAGACTTGAGCCTTCTCCCTGGGCCATAATACCACGGGCAGCTGCCCGTCAACGTCACGGGTAGCCTCCGACAGGTACATTTGGTCTGACGTAGTTCTTCTGCGTACAAGAGTGCATCTTGGCCATCCATCGCAGCACCAGTTTTCTCTCTCCAACCTAATAGCCCAACACGTGTGAGATCCCGTTTGTTTACAATAACGTGGCCCTATTAGCTCCCAACACGATAACCGAAGACCTTCCTTTTCTGACACGCATGTGGTTCTATGTGACTTTACTGTAAATTATATATCGGAACCACCATGTATCGGTGCTGTAGATCTGGGACGTTTGAGAGAGAGAGAGAGATTAGATTCAGAGGAAGAAAGGATTTTGAATGAAGAACAGAGGAGAAAAAAACTCACCGACCTCCGGCGGAAGTTCGTGGTTCCAGCGCCGTTCGTCGTCGGCCGGAATCGACTTCCGCCGGACTTCCACTGTTCGGTATTTGCAGCGACCGTCGTCGGTGACGATGGCGATGGCAGCCTGTGTCTGATAGGGATTGAGAAGTTAAAAAACAGAAATAAAAATGTAATTTCGCATAAGGGTATAACGGATATTTTACTTTTTTCGTTAATGTTAGTCAATTATCAAAAACGGTACACAGTCAATTTTCAACAGGATAGAATTAATCAATTAACTAAGCCATAAGGGTAATTTAAAAAATTTACCCTTTTTTTTTTGTCTCACATAGCTTCTTCTACACTCTGTAACACAATAATCATTATAATGTATGATTTATATAAATTTTATAGTAAGAGAAGAAGTAAAAGTAATATTGTAACAGCTAAAGCCTATGTCTCTGATATCTCTCTTGTCTAAAAGATAATAAATAGATATCGTAAATTATGCACAGCAGAAACAACGATAATATCCACAGTCCACAGATTTGAAAGTAACAATGAAAACTCTGCTGAAGGTTTCTGACTCATTTGTATTCGTTTCTTTTCTCTGTTTGTTCTTTCAAGATAATCATGCTGCCCCGCCATTCTTGTTTTCTTTTTCCTCTCCAACAATCCTCTTCCAGAACCAGTGCTCCCTCCACACCCGATCCATCTGTTCAATAGGCACGTTCTTGGTCTCTGGCAGAAGCAAATAAACAAACCCTGTCATCACCGCCACCCATCCGCCGAAGAAGAAGAAGATCCCAGACTTGAAATGGCAGAGCATAGACAGAAACGTTTGAGCAACAATGAAAGTGAAGAGAAAGCTCACTGCCACTGTAATACTCTGTCCTGCTGATCTGATCTCCAGTGGAAAAATCTCACTTGGAACCAACCACCCCAATGGACCCCATGACCACCCAAAACCAGCTACGTATATGCCAATCAAAACCAGTACCAGATAAGCGTCTCCCTTGCTCAAACCACCATGATCCCCAAGTTTGGCAGCCATTATTCCTCCCACCATCAACTGTGAGACGAACATCTGAACTCCGCCTATCGCAAACAACACCCGTCGGCCCAATCTATCCACTATCAGCATGGATATGAAGGTCGAGACAGTACCCACAACTCCAGTCATCACAGCGGACATGAGAGATGCACTCTCGCCCAGGCCGATGGTTCGAAACAATATGGGAGCGTAGAAGGCAATCACATTGATTCCTGTCACCTGTTGGAAGAATGGGATTGCCATTGACATAACCAGCTGAGGTCTGTATCTGCTTCGTAGGATTTTTCTGAATGGGTGATCCCCGATGGCCTCAGTAGAGATGTCACCAGCTTGGATGAGATCATCCAGCTCTGCTTGGACGTCTGTGGTCCCTCGAACTCTCTGTAGCATCCTCTTGGCCTTCTCCTGGTTGTTGCGTTGGATAAGGCTGTTGGGGGTGTCAGGGAGGAAAATGGCTCCAAGAGTTAGGATTGAGGCTGGGACTGCAGCCAGGGCAAGAGAGAGACGCCAACCCCAGCCACCTCTAATCTTTTCAGTAGTAAAGTTGATGAGATTTGCTGATAAGGCTCCGATGCCTACACTGAACTGGAAGCCATTGTTAAAAGCTCCTCGGTACTGTGGTGGAGCCATTTCTGAGAGATATAGTGGGACCGACTGCACAATATATATATAAGAAAGATTAGTTACTACCTAATTTTATCTTCTCTCTAGGCTCTAGCTAACAACAATTCAAACTTGGGCTCAGCCAATCAAAGTAATGGTGGGTCCGGCACCGAAGTTACTTGGGAGGTGCTTGTCCATCCAATGAATGGATTACATGTGGCAAGTTTTTTGTTCAAAACCCACATCCTGTACTCTCCTGGGAGAGTGATAAATCTGTGAGATGCCGTCACATCTCCATCCTGTTCCAAGAACGAGCTTACTCGAGCTCAGCTCGGAATTCAGCCCCAGACTCTGGGCATGTTCTGAAGCCAGAAGTTAGTGGCTTGTGTACTAAAATTGTTAATTGTAAGCAAGGGGAGATTGGTGTTCTACCTGATTAGCGAATCCCACCCCAACTCCAAGCAAGATTCGGCCTAATATAAGCATATATACGTTGAAAGCAGCTCCACCAAGAGCTGCGCCGGCAAGGAAAGTGGCACCGCCGGCGAGAATGGAAGGCTTGCGCCCAAAGGCTCGTGTTACTGATGAAGCAAAGAAGGAAGCGACCAGACCGGCTATGTAGAGTGACGACGTGAATGAGGTCAAGAGTTGGCTGTCGAATTTGCAGTAGTTGCTTATCTTGGTGTCGTCCTTCATCTTTGTGTAAACCTCTGGGAAGAACTTCTTAAGAAATGGCTCCATGGAAGAGACCCCACCTTCACATTTGTCTCATAATCAATAGAAATTAAAAGATTGAATTGTAAATGGGAAAGAAAGAAAAAGATATATTGTTCTGCGGGAACGCCCTTTTGGTTGTTGGCAGTGACATATCAGAGGAAGATGAAATGGAGAAATGAGATGTAAGTAAGAGAACCTGCCTGAAATTCCAATATCATAGCCGAAGATGACTCCTCCCATGGCAGCCATCATACATGAAAGGATGACAAACGGGGTCATCCTTCCATTGTAGCGCTTGTTTTCGCCTGCAACTGCAAATCCCGCTGCCATGAGCTGATCTCCACAGATGACCACTGACAGCCATGAGAAAGAGTGATGTGTTTTAGACTCAGAAGATGGAGAAAGAGGACAAAAGAAGCCGTCTTGATTGACTGGGCTTTAGTAGTGCAACCAATAATTGGGCATATGCGATATCCGGATATACATTAAGTCAAATAGTCAAATAACAATGTTTACTTTCGAGTGTATAGAAATTTTAGCATAAAAAATATGAGGCCAGGTCTGTTCCACATAAAGGGCGCCTCACATCGACCTTACAGTTACTTCCCACCGTGTATTGGCAACATCTCCGTATTTATATGTTATTATTTACTGGAGATGTCTCCAATGCATGATAGGATGTACTTGTAAGGTCGTTGGAGACCGGATTTACTCCTTACACAGAATGCTTTAGACCGACCTCACACATACATCCTATCATGCATTGAAAATATTTCCCTTATTTATAAATTATTATTCATGGAAGATGTTTTCAATACATAGGAGGCACCCATTTGTGAGAAACATATAAGTCATTGTGAGGCATCTGTGTGAGGAGCAGATTCTAATTCAAAAAATATGTGGTTGTATTTTGAGATTTGATTGGGGTTCGCTATCAAACACCTGATAACATGGCCAATTCATTGATGATGCAAACCAGATAATTATATAATACATATATAAAGTAGTTTTTGTTGTGGTTTTTATAAACAAATCTATATTAATCCATTAAAAAGTCCGATAATAAGCAAAAGCTGCCTGTGGGTTAACCACTTGACAATAGGAGCTGTGTTTGATTGTATTGCGAATTTATTTGCACTGATGTAAAATCAAGGCAGTGCAAATGATTTTAGTGCAATTTATGATTTATTTTTATTTTAAAATTTACTTTATTTTATTCGATTGCAGTACAAGTAAAGCAAAATAAAGTAACATCCAAAATGAAATTAAACCAGAATTTGCATTATTTTTATTTACACTCCCATGCATTTGTATTAGTGCAAATAAAATTGCACCGCAAACAAACACATCTGAGATTTTATGAAATGGCCTGATCCATTTATGCATTTGAGTTTGAAGCACAGGTCTTATTTTATTCCATTTGTACTACAACCAACAAAATAAGGTAAAATTTGAATCAAAAATAAATGAGAATTTGCACTTAAAAAGTTTCACTAGTTGAGACTATACCTGTTCATGGGCCGGGTAGCCTGACGGCCCGGCCCGGCCCACACCCCGGCCGGGCTTGGTCATATAATTAGGCCCGCGGGCCTGACCTCGGGCTTAACATAGTAAGCCCGACTGTGTTTCGGGCCGCGCTCGAGATTTGTCAAAAAAGCCCGGTCCGACCCGACTCAGTATTATATATTTTATAAAATATATAATATGTATTTTATATATTATATAAAATATATAAATAATATAATATTTATTAAAATATATTTTTATAATTTAATATATATATATATATATTTTATTCTTTTCTTTATAATTTCAATCTATCTCTCTCTTTATTCAACTGCTTCAACATTAATAATAATAATAATATAGGCTAAATTTTGGGCTCGGGCCCAGGCTCGGGCTTCGGGCTTTTTATGAGGGCCGGGCTCGGGCTCGGGCCTTAAAAAAATTTGTTAATACACAGTAAAAGCCCGGCTTGAGCCCGGCCCGGCCCGGCCCATGAACAGGTCTAGTTGAGACTTGAGACCCGTGCAATGAGTGGACTTTCATTAATTTTATTAATAATTTCTTATTAGCGACTTTTATTAATTTTTTTATTTATTTTAAAATTTAAATGGACTTTAAATGATTTTATAAAAATAAATTAATACTTATTATACTATTATATCATCAATTATAACTATTCTAAGATTATTTAATTAATTATTAATTTTTCATGATTTTTATATTATTATAAAAATTAACATATTGTAAGTTTTTATTAATAATATAATATTATGATATTATCTCGTTAGCTATGATTTTCATTAGTGCAATTATAATTAAGTGGATTTTAATATTTCATATAACAATTATTTGGCATTCATAGTTTCATACAATCAATTAATTGAATTACTTAGTAATCACTAATAACTAATTCAATTAATTACTAAAAGCTAATTAATTATATTGGGCACCGATACAGCAAACGGTTCACCCACAAAATGATTTACCATATGGGTAACTCAAAAACAGATCACTACAACCCATATCATGTTCTACGGTGTTTTCAAAATCGGGTCAAAATAACCCGCTTAAATCATCTTCTTCACCCGGATTGATAAAACTGGTTTGGTGCTGTATTTTCTTCTTATCCTAACGTGAAAATAAAGGCTTTTTACCTTCTCATAATGTAAAACTATGAAAAAAATTAAACTTAAGCTCAAAAGCGGTGCACTATAGTATCTTTTGATTTCGAAAAATCTCCAGAACCAGAAGGGAAGGTGGTCTCCTTCCTATAGCATTTTGCACATAGAACACCCCATAAACACTGTAGCATTTCGACGTTTTCTCTGTTAGAAATTGAGGTGAGAGGAATTGGGCATACCTGGGAAAAATCCGATCAAACTACTGAACAACAGTACTGAATTATAAACTTTATTGTAAATCAAACCTTCAGCTAAGAACGAAAAGAATGGAAGATCGAAGGAGAATGAAACATCAATAAAGCGGAATGCAACTCAGAAGGCAATCTAGTAACAAAGGTGGGTATTTAGGCTGCAATCGAGATTTTGTTCCTCATCTACGTAAAGAAAGAATCAAAGCATAGAGTTTCGAATCGGAGGTTTATTTTATAAGAAAGCATTAGTAAGTATCGAAAGCTTCCTTCTGTAATTTATCTCAGATCTTTGTTTTTTTGGTAAGAAAGCGTTGGTAAGATCTGAGGAGCTTGATTTTTTTTTTTGAGAAGGGTGGTGACACTTACTCCTTTTGAATTTTTAGATATTGTCCTTTATCCCAAACTTACCTTACCTTATGGCTTTATATTATTTACCACTTTGCTCGTGGCTTTAAATAGAAGGGATTGGCCAAACCAAACAGGGTTCATGTAAGTATGGGTGTCCAAGTCAAAATCAACTTGGATGGATTAGATGGGTCAATAAAACATTGAATTGGACCAATCCAAACTTAATGGTCCAAAGTATTTATTAGATTGGATTGAACCTGACCCATCCGTAATGAATTTATATTGGATTCAGTAAGAATGAATCAATATCCTGCCGTTAATAAAGGATAAGAATACAGGTGTCAATGGACCAGGTTTGGATTGGAATCATTCTAAATTAAAACTAATTTGAACAGATTGGACAGTCCAGACATTAAATTGGATTGATCCAAAATAGTCCAAGGTATTCATTACATTGGATTGGACCTGATCCCTGTAATGGATTCATATTGGACAGGATCAGATTAGACCAAATTCGGTCCAATTGACACCCCTACAAGTATCAACTTTTCTCTTAGCCTCGTTTTGATGGATGCTAGTAGCAACTTATCCCCAAACTACCCTATAAAAACCTGGGCCGAACCCAGTCCATAATCAACCCTAGTTTAGCATGCAGCCATGAATCCACCTTAATAGGTGGTGGCAAAAATTACACATAAAAAAATTGGAAAAACAAAATGAAGAAGCTTATTTATTTAAAAGAACATGTAACTTTGTATACAGATATATCCCACTCCCAGCTCTAGTGTAACATTTTGTAGACAAAATACTGAGAAGACAAATGTTAAAAACAACTGATTACAAAATCAATACAAGCAAGATATCTCTAATTACCTACTTAATTTCTCTCCCCATGAAGGAATTGATGGAATGCTTTGTTCATATCTGAAGAAATTACCTGGATCAACCATGCTCTTCACATGTACTAATCTTTTGAAGTTACTCTTGAAATACTTCTCACCCCAAATCCTACCCTGGGAGTAGCTTGTATTACCCTTACTATTGGTACCCAAGTCAAGATCCCTATAGTTCAAATATGCAGCCCTTGGAGAGTTGGATACATAGGGCCCCATGTACTTGTACAGCATTCTAATCCAACCTATATGCCTTTTGGATGCCTCAATTCCCTCATCTTCCCAGCTCACCATGTACTGAATCTTATAAATGTTCCCCTTTCTATGAGGGAAAGGAATTTCAGACTCTGGAATCTCATCCATCCTTCCTCCATAGGGAGTCCAGATCATATATGCCCCGTCACCTTGGTAAAGCCTTTTCCATATTCCTTCCAACCCAGTTTCTGAAATGGGTTCTTTCACATAATCAGACTTTGCCTTGAAGAAGCTCTTGGACTGAGGCCTCCTGTCCAACAAAACCTCCAAGGATTCAGAGGTTGAGAATCCTGCGAAGTAGAGCACGGATTGAATCCAACTCATTTCAGCACAATCTTCCTTCTTCAAACCCAACTCAGGAAAGCTGGCGTTCATCATTTGGAGAAGCTTCTCAGAACCTCCAAGAAACATAGACTCAAATGAAGCTCGAACAGTTGTATTCCCCTTCTGATTTATGGCTGCTATGTTGATGTGGAGGAAGATATCTTCATGGAGCTTATCTGCAATGAATTGCCATTGATGTATGAGCTTTGTTGCACCTTGTTCCAGGGTTCTATCAACAGTGCAAGCAGTCACCACAGGCGGAACAGGAACTAGTTTGACTCTCCAAGAGACAACGATACCGAAGCTTGCTCCCCCTCCTCCTCTGATGGCCCAAAATAAATCTTCCCCCATGGATTCTCTATTGAGAATTCTGCCATTAACGTCGACTAGATAAGCATCAATGATATTATCAGCAGCCAGGCCGTATTTTCTGAACATCAGACCAAACCCACCTCCACTGAAGTGCCCACCGACGCCCACTGTCGGGCAGCTCCCAGCAGGGAAGCCATGGATCTTACTTGTCTCTGCAACTCTATAATAAACTTCCCCAAGAACTGCTCCAGCTTGAATCCATGCAGTACCGTTATCTTCTATATCAACGTCGATCGATCGAAAATTGAGCAGGTCAACAATGATGAATGGGACATCAGATACATACGAAAGACCCTCGTAGTCGTGGCCACCGCTTCGGACTCTAAGTTGGAGGCCTGCTTTTCTGGAACAAATAACAGTTGCTTGGATATGAGACACATTCGTTGGTGTGATGATAAGCAGAGGTTCAGGGGTAGAAGACAACGAAAATCTAAGGTTTTGTATGGAATGTTGCAAGAGAGATGAATAAGAAAAATTGTTTGGGGTATACAACACTTCTGAGATTGGGATGGATGGTTCAGAGTCAGAGTTAGAATGGACGTGAAGGCACTGTAAAAAGTTCCAGTGAGCTGAATCTGGTGCAGCCCATGAAACTGAGCAGAGGCGGAGGACACTAAACAAAGAAAATATTACAGCAATAATGCTTGAAGTCTGCATTTTCCTTTTCTTTCTTTTCCTTGGTGTAGAAATCAATTGCGCTGTTATTTATAATGGTTTCTATGAAGAAACAGATAATTGCAAGATATGTATTAGTTGACTAGAAAAATTTTGGAGTTACGTAGTTTCAACTTTCAAACCCCATCTCAACTTAGAAAGGCAAAATTGTTTTTAATATAATCTACTATATATATAACAATTGAATACCTGATGAACCTAGCCTTGACTTTGATTTTCTGTTTGTTGGATCTGGATCTGAATGACTGAATCAGCTGGACCTGTCTCATTTTTTTCGTCTATTCCAAAATAAATTTGGCTAGCTGTTTGGAGGAAATTAAACAACCTGCTGCGCTGTACATGTTACAATGGGTATGGGGTAAAAGAGTAATTACACTCCATTTTCTTTTGATAAAAGAGACAAACAGGGCTCTGTGGGGTGCCGATGTGAACTCCTTGCGCCAATGCCCAATAGGAATATCTTCCAATTTATATGTTTTTTTTTTCATGAGGAGATATTTTCATTGCAAAATTGGAAAAAGCTGTTGGAATGGTAAGCCAATCTCAGCATTCCTAATTGTCAATTTGTCATTAGTAAATGTTCCCAATATACCATTGGGATGTACTGTAGGGTGCCCGTGAGGCGCAGATGCAAACTCTGGCGTAAATTGGCCCCAAACAGCCAAAGCTTTTTCAAAGCCAAAGTGGAGGAATCTACCGCCAACAAACACTATCAGTCCTGTGCCAACAGGCAAGATGATGGCATTGCGTTCGTAACTCAAAATTAAAGTCAATTTTGGCAGAGCACACCCCACATTCACATCTGAGCATGTGTTGATAATCGCTCTCCTTAGTTCTCTCCTCGTTGTCAAGGGAGATGTTTCCGATACAAGATTGAGATTTGACGTGGGGTGCGTGTCGGGTACAAATCTGAATTCTTAACTTTGGACCCCACCCCCAATTATGGACAAAGTTTTCTCGCATGAAACGTTTATCCCTTTGCTTATATTTTTGGCTTCTCACATCATGGTGGAATGGGATCTGCTTTTCGTACATGAACGCTTTACATTCATATGTACATCCATCGTGTATTGATAACATTTTCTGTGAATAACAATTTATAAATACGGAAGATATTTTTAATACATGGAAGATGTGTGTGAAGTCGGTGTGAGGAGCCCAGTGCGAGGAATAAATCCAATCTCCATCCATGGTAACGTGTCCAAGTTCACAATCAGCTTAGACTTTTTTTTTTTTTTTTTTTTTTTTACAGTCAATGTTTTCACCCGTTAAATATGTGACAGACTGACAGAAGTTCTATACGTGGAAAAATAGAAAAATAAAGAGTCGTGACGTATAAATAGATATGTACCATGTGTCCTCAACATGTGAATAACATGCAAGCTTTCTGCATTATTTTTTTGAAAATTTTCTAGAATATGTGTTTGACAAGCATTTGCTTGTAGGACAATCACCCCCTGATTACGTAATACTATCGCCTCTTCTTTTAAAGAAATACATATTTAGCCCTCCCAAATGAACCCAAATACCCTATCATTAAGCCAAAAATTTGCTTTTTGGTAAAGCTTATTTTAATAGCTTACATCAAAGTAGCTCAGTGATAGCAGCTCGCTTTTTGGTAAAGCTTGCTTTAATAACTTACATCAAATGGGAGGGTTGACGTACAGTCACCTTTTGCTTTCTAAGGTTGGCCTTGTACATGCAGCTTTAATTTAAGCCATCGGTGAAAACTTTGGCTGTTTAGGGGCCAACTCTTGATAACATTTTTAGTTACCATGATAGTGAAAGAATGGTAGGATCCATTTAATGGACCCTAAGAAAGTTGCGGAATGGGTGGACGAATTTCAAAAATTTTCCTACATTCTTCCAACTGAAAATCATATTCCCTAAATTTAGAATACCATATTCAAGGATCTTACTTGAATCATAATCGAACCATATCTGAACCAAAAAGTACAAGGGAGGAATATACCTGATCCGGAGAAGCAGTATCTCCCAAAGTTGGTGTTCACGCCCAAAGAAGAAACCAAGATCCGCTCCTGCTGAAGATGACACAGCTGTGGATGGAACGGAACCAATAGGGTGCGTCCTACACACTGGATCCTTTGCAAGAATCCTCTGGAAACTCTGAACACCGAATCTTTTTCAGTCTTTTCTGCAAGACTGATGTCAAGAATTGATTTCTTGACTTCCTATTGCTGCAAAGATCGAATCTTGCAAGAGGGAATGGCGGCAGCAGGAGGAGAACTCCAGGGACGAAGTTGGCTGAACTTGCTTCTCTTCTCTCTGGAGTTTTGGTATGAGATCTAGTCTCAATTCGCAGGAGGTATCCCCTGTGTTCAAAACCCTGGTTCGAAATCTGATATTTTCACTTGAGTTTCTCCTCCTTTCTTCTTGATTAAGAAAGCTCCTAATTAGGAGTTATCCCAATCCAAATCAGTATTTGGATAGGGGATAATCTTAATCCTATATGCAGATTAAGTTAGCTTACTCCTGATCTTATCARGAGGTKASCAGATTCAAATCTAATTTGAATTTGGTCTCCTAGAGTGGATAAGGTTAAAGGCCC